GAGATGTTGCCTGGAAGTATTTCAACATCATCGGAGCTGAAACCACTCACTGTGGAAATGGAACAAACATCTACTCAACTGGTGGGTGTTGTCTTTGTCAATTTAAGATTGCCTATCTAACTCCAGTCATCTTCAACATTCTTGGTGAAACTGTATGCGGCTCATGGTTCTGCTACAATATTGTTTGGATTTGCTTGATTTTAGCATGACTGAAATGGAATGTTATTGGCAAAAAAGCTGTTCCGATTTTTTTTGTGATTGAGGGCTTCAACCACCACATCCCTTCCTACTGGGCTGTTGTATTTGCTGACTAGCTGACGTACCCAGTTAGCCCTTCTAATGGAAACATTAAGCTAGACATGTTTTGAGTCGAAAAAATTTTTTTTGAGAAGGCTAGGGCCCAGCGTTTGGGAATTCTCAGTATGAAGATCTAGTCCCAGTAAGCACTGACTTGGCACGTCAACGAAAAAAGGCAATATTTTTTTTGGAGTTTACCGTATTCTTATTTTCCTTTTTAATATATCTGTCGCATCCCCTTCTGACGGTCCGGAGCAAAAGGGCGGAGGATCGATAATTTAATAAAATTGATCGGCACTTCCGCAAATGGCAATCATATTCGCGATCAGCATTTGTATACTGTACACCAATTTTCAGAATTTCAGACAAAAATGCGTAACAGTCATTATTTTTTTTAGAAGATATCATGTATTGTATGTAATCTGTTACTGCAATAAGAACAGGGCCAAACCTCTGTACATGAAAAAGTACGGTAAGTCAAAAAATTAATTTTCTGTTGGACGTTTATGTTACTGCAATGTGCCAACGTGTATGTGTCCAAAATAGGGTCTGGATACGTTTGCAAACAAAGTCTGTATTTGGAGAGTACACACATACACAGACAACGGATAAATACGCACGGACATTGTGCGTTGTACATGTAATTCAAAAAATCATACCATCCGGTCTTACAACGGATTATAATAGGTTTCAGTAGATAATCGTAATTGTAGATTTGCCTGAAACGTGG